TCTAAAGTACACAGACCTGTTGTGTTGATGAGGATAATAATGTCATATAATGCAAACTAGAAAATTCAATCGTCATAGAGCATCTGTACTGCTTTGTCTAAATGGAAATCTCAGGAGAAATTCATCTCCACTATTGGTGATCAAAAATATTGTAGCATTAAGTATACAGTCAGTGGAAATTGTAAAGGAGAATAAATTCATATTAATGATAATAAAGCTGAATAGATTCAGTTCTAGTAATCACCACGACTCATGCGTATAATCATACCGCGTAATGATTTAGTGCATTAATTGGAACAACAAGGAAACTTAAACGAGTAATTGCCTTCTCCACTGCACTGTACTTGCAATAATCGTGACAACCACCTTCGTTTGTTATCCTATCAGTCAGCTTAGTACACAATGGCACAATATTATTATAGTTGAGATATTTTTGTACATTTAATTAACATAACCCATAGCACACTGCACCAACCAGTGCCAATATATATGAAATCCATTTAGAGATAACCTTTCAACTTACCATAATTCCTGTCCAACCACAGATAGAGTGAAAAGCACATCTAAATGACAACTTAGGTTCCCACCAACGATTCTGATAACATTTGCAGGTGATTTCCAAGTATTGAGAGAATTATTTTGTCAAAAAAGACTGTTCTTCACACGAAAATAGGCTGTACTGATATCCTGAGACATGAAGTCTTCATTGAATGATACTATGCCGAAAGATGCAGCTTCTACATGGAGTAAATGAGTGGTGTAAATGGCATTACCCTCTAACTATCCTATCTCCCTCATTACACCGACATTTTGATACATTCCATCTGAAACACTAATCATTGCAACCAATATGCTAAAAGTGTGTCGCAGTCAGATCACATGAGGCGGACACCAACATAACCAGCCAAAAAGTGGGAATTTCCCTCAATCTAGATAACATATAATACAATTTTATTAAAAATTATTGGCAAAAAAAATTCCAAACGTAACTTCTAGAGTACGTGACGAATAAGTCCAGCCCCTGTAGGCTGGAAGTCTATAGTCACTTAATGGCAGGATGCTTTTATTTGGGTGGGCCTGATCATTTAAGATCTGGTAGACGGTGATGAGGTCTCCCCTGTGCCTACGGTAACTAAGTGTGAAAAAACCTAATTTCTTTAGTCGTTCCTCATATGATTTGTTGCGGAGACCGATCACCCATTTTGTCGCTGGTCTCTGGACATTTTCTAGAATGTTAGCATCCCTTTTGAGTAGTGGAGGTGCAATGATATTATGCACCTCAAGGTGTGGCCTCACATATATCTTATATAACCTTGAGAACAGTTCGGGAGTAAGAGCTCCCAGCTGCCAATGCATAAAATGTAAAGCTGCCTAGGCTTTGACGACGTCCCTCGCGTAATTTCCACTGGTGTCTAGCTTTTCTGTCAGAACAAGACCTAGATCGCGCTCTGATGGAACACAACTCAAGTTCTGGCCACCAATGGTGTAATTTACACTCTCTGACCTGCCGGAATGAAGTTGCACTACTTTGCGGCTGGACTTATTCGTCACGTACTCTAGAAGTTACGTTTGGAATTTTTTTTGCCAATAATTTTTAATAAAATTGTATTATATGTTATCTAGATTGAGGGAAATTCCCACTTTTTGGCTGGTTATGTTGGTGTCCGCCTCATGTGATCTGACTGCGACACACTTTTAGCATATTGGTTGCAATGATTAGTGTTTCAGATGGAATGTATCAAAATGTCGGTGTAATGAGGGAGATAGGATAGTTAGAGGGTAATGCCATTTACACCACTCATTTACTCCATGTAGAAGCTGCATCTTTCGGCATAGTATCATTCAATGAAGACTTCATGTCTCAGGATATCAGTACAGCCTATTTTCGTGTGAAGAACAGTCTTTTTTGACAAAATAATTCTCTCAATACTTGGAAATCACCTGCAAATGTTATCAGAATCGTTGGTGGGAACCTAAGTTGTCATTTAGATGTGCTTTTCACTTTATCTGTGGTTGGACAGGAATTATGGTAAGTTGAAAGGTTATCTCTAAATGGATTTCATATATATTGGCACTGGTTGGTGCAGTGTGCTATGGGTTATGTTAATTAAATGTACAAAAATATCTCAACTATAATAATATTGTGCCATTGTGTACTAAGCTGACTGATAGGATAACAAACGAAGGTGGTTACTAGAACTGAATCTATTCAGCTTTATTATCATTAATATGAATTTATTCTCTTTTACAATTTCCACTGACTGTATACTTAATGCTACAATATTTTTGATCACCAATAGTGGAGATGAATTTCTCCTGAGATTTCCATTTAGACAAAGCAGTACAGATGCTCTATGACGATTGAATTTTCTAGTTTGCATTATATGACATTATTATCCTCATCAACACAACAGGTCTGTGTACTTTACAATAGTTGAAGTGTTTCACTATGTTGTTAGCACTGTGCATAGCTGTCTAGAGTTGAGGCATGTTCAGCTTATATTTGATGCCTATAGTCTCCTAAATGTGAAAATGTGATTTCTGTAGGATTCACAAAACCTTGTGGACTAGACATTACTGAGATTGTGGATTAACTTCTAAGTTATACACTTGCAATACTTCATTTCATGTAAAAGTGTTTAGTGTGAAGTTGATCTGCAAGTAAGCTTGATGAGAGAATGACGCCTCAATAGTATGAATGTTTCGGAGATTGCCTTGAAATTTGCATATAGTCCTCAAATGCAGGAAAACATATGATGTATATTTATGTATACGGCGTCAACATAAATATCAGCTGTAGACTACAAATACATTTATCTCCCTGAGATAATACTTAGTTTTAACAGAATGATTGTATTCATATTGTATGCTAATATGTAGAATTGTCTCTTGTTAACTTCATGTTATGCTAGTTCTAACATGTACTTTATTTTTTCCAGGTTTACGGAGGTTGTCGAATATGAAATCAGCGGAAACATCATTCGGTCAAACTAACTTTATTACCCTTCATCAGAATTTTCTTTTGTAAATTAATCAAATGTTTAATATACTCTTGATTACTTCTTCCTGTAGACTTCTTCAATTCCTCGCTATACAATGTGCTTTTGTAATAAGTGAATTAGGAATAATAAACGCTAAGCTTAGTTAGTGGGATGGAAATTCACTGTAGTATTATGAGAATGTTACTTTAGTCATTAGTAGGATTTCGTGTCTGTTTCTACACAATAGCACATTGTAAAAGCTAAGTGGGATTTAGCAAGTTGAATAATAATTCTGTACTGTTGGATACTCTAAAGTCGCCTTATCTAACCAGTTGAAAGTCTGTTTACTGTTAAACGCCAAGTATGTAGTACAAGTAAATGTAGTAACTTAGGCTTGATATCTACTTCACTAATCCGTTAATATGCAGTGACATCAAAAAATAGACTGTTCACTTGACCATCAGCTAAGAAACATTTTTTATTTATTTTAATATGCCGTTGAATCATAGGATGTTATCTAGTATCCATCATTTCTGTGATCAAAAACTGCGGTATTTGCATGTCTACTTTATAGATGTTAAATAACCTACGCCTGTATGCATGTAATTACCTCCAGTATTCCCTATTCATTTGGTGTGTGTAAACTAAACAAGTCTTTCATAAATTCTCCCATAAATGCCAAACTTTCTAGTGTTACAAGCGTTAATAAGACCTGCTTCCTTTGTTTCAAATCAAATGAGGTATATACGAACTAAGGGAAAGTTACTCTTACTTAATCTTTAACCCTCACTCAGAGCCTTTAACGATCCCAAACAGTTCTCCTATAAACACAGTAGACGTACTTTAGATGCAGCTGCAGTCTTGCTTCACAACATTTTCTCCAGTATAGACAATGGGGCTAAATTCGCTGCACCTTCCTAGAGTACACATCCGCTTTCGACTCACTACCTAGAGATATTCTGTTAGATAAGCTTGCTGAAACTCAAACTGAGTATTGGATTGTTAGATGGCTTCATTCTTATTTATCAGGGAGAAAGCAGTACACTGTAGGTCAGGGGGAAGTCGTCCATTACCAATTGTATTTTTGTTTGATGAAGTTATTGTACGAATGCATACGAGAAGAACTTTTTCAAACACGCGGACGATCTAACTACTTCAATGTCTGTTAACTGCCAACTACACCGTACTAAGATGAACAGCTCTCTATTAGGAGTGGGAAAATGCTCTTAAACTAAATCCTTCGAAATGTCAGACTGTTATTTTCAGTTTCCGATGTAAACGAAAGTTAGTTGAAGGTGTTAATTCCTATGACCGTTGCAAAATTGATAATAGTGATATGGAAATGAAGTCTGACTCTAAGTATCTCGGACTGATTCATCGCAGCGTGTTGGCCCTAAATGTATGCCACATGCAGGCATAATGTTTATGAGCTAGGTATGCAAATCATGGTAGACGCTTGTACGGTACATTCATTATTTATAAAACTAACTCGCACGTAAGAACTATGGTTTGATCAGTTATACAACGTTTAATACATTTAGACACAATTAACCTACGATGCTGACTTCTATGACGCATTACCTAAAACTACATTAATATAGTTTCCGCTGAAGGTTATCTCCTATAGTTACTACCTTAGTGGGCAACTTAGCGTTATCTTTGAATAACGAAAATTCCGAGAACTTTCTTGGTAAAAAGATCGTCCCTTACTCGAAAAAATTAAATATACCCTAGTCTCCACAAAAACGTTCAGAGGTATTCATCCTATCACCGCAAACGACTCACTATTTGCAGCCATTTAAAAAGTAAAAATAAATTTACCGATGGCAGCGTGCTTATGATTTCTAGATATCATAATGTACCATGAGGAAAACGCTATCTCCATGCGGTTATAAGTCAGATGTGCGAAATTAGTCAGAAACACAACAACCACGATTCTCAGTCACATAACATCTTACTTCGCTACCTAATCGTATAGTCGTATTAACGGATGTTTCGCCGAAGAAAAGAAGACTACTGGTTCAAGGATAATTTATTTAGTTTTTTTTAAGATCGTGAACATCTGTGTCTATAGTCACGGAAGAATCACAACTTCGAGGAAACCATCAATCGTAGACTACAACCCGAAACGTTATTCTTCCTAATTAATGTCTTACCTTTAACTGGGATTGTTTGTACACTCACCAGATCACCGTATTTTATCCGCTTTGAAAACCGTTTTGCAACCCATCGAATGGATGTTAACACTGGCTCTATTACGGGTAGTCCTAGTTCATTTATTGCGATCTAGTACATCAAGCAATAATAAGCATAAGTAACACTTACCCTTAAGGATTCCAGGTTCTTTTAGTTCCCCCAAAATATACACAAGCACAACAGATTCATACTTTTCATGCGGCTCAACCTTATTTGGCTTAGATTCTCTCACAATATATTTTTTTAAATGATAGCAGACACACGGATGGTATATTCACATTCTCAAAAATCTTCAAAGCTTTTTCAACTTCAACCCAGGTTCTAAATTCTCTGGGTTTAATTTGTTCTTCGAAAACCTTGCTAATACCAACTCTGATGGTGCTCTCTTCAACAGATTCACTCGCAGATTGTTGTATGCTGCAAACATGAACGAAAAAGACACTCTTTTTCCAGATTTCTACATGTTATGCAAGTAACTGAGCCAACAATTGTAACGGCAACCAACTAATGGACTGGAAACAACTGCTTCTGACAGCCAAACATCTTCATGTGCACAATTTCAAAACCCTCTACACAGTACTAATTCATTAACAGCTGAAAACCAACTAAAACACTCAAAGCCGCATGAATGCAAGGTATGAAAACAATTACACCGAAATGAATGCACTGGCCTGGTAGTGAAAACTTTCGAAACCAAAGAAATAATTCATTTTAACAGCAACGGAAACAAAAAATGAGGTGAAACGCAACATTTGTGAACGATACGCAACAAGATAAGTCGTGTATAACGGCAGGATAAACGGAACAACAAACGCGTTAACGAACAGCTACGGAACTGCGATCCAACATGGCCGACTAAAATGGACGAAAATGACCTTCGAGCGCCTCACTCCACCAATGACCTTGATAAGTGACGGATAATTTCAGCCGCCTACAGGCTGCCGTTTTATGAGGCATCTCAAGGTCATCGGGTGGATAAGGCGCCTTCAGGGCCTTTTCGTCCATGTTAGTCGGCCATGTTAGAACGCCGTTTGCTAACTGTTCGTTCCCACCATGGCTTTTTTGTTTGTCCTTCAGTTATTTGCATTTTATCTTAGTGTAGATTACACACTAATTTTGCGTTTCACAACCTCTCGGACCCCGTAGCTGTTAAAATAAGTTATTTCCTTTGTGTATCCAACTTTTGTCACCAGGTCATTTCTTTGTAATTGTTTCGTACGTTGCCTCCATGCTTCGTTGCGGTGTTTTAGTTGTTTTTTCAGCTGTGAATGAAACAGTACTGTGTAGGATTCGGCTAAGATAAAATATAGGGCTCCAAGGGATGCGAATGCCTGACCACCCAGCTAGCATTTTGTTCGGGCGCATTGCAGACTTTTTGGGGCAGACTTCGGGCGCATTGCAGACTTTTGGGCAGACTTGGGCAAATTGCAGACTTTTAGGGACAGACTTAGGGCGAATTGCAGACTTTTTGGGGCAGAATTTGGGCACGTTGCAAATTCCGATGAAGATTTAGGGCGCATTGCAGACTTTTTGGGGCAGACTTCGGGACACTGTCCCACGTAAGTAGATCTACCCGAAGTTTTTGCCCCAAAACGTCTGCAATGCGCCCGAAAAAAATGCACTCATGAAAATAAGTGGTTTTTGCACAAAAATGACGTTTATTCACAAGAAAATGTATGAAAACGCATTATCCAGGATAGTTTTCGTTGGAATGACCTAAACGTAGCTCTTATAACATGGAGTATCAGTTTTCATGTGTTTGACCAGTATCAGTGCGAGTATTCACCGAGGTGACTGGAGTTAAGCTCTTTTGTGTATCCCGTTAATCGCTCTTATTATGTTTTGCAGACTTAATGGAAAGCCCTCTACTGAATTACTATGGTATCCAGTAGGAGTATCGGAAACTAATCGCTAGGATAATTTCGTTAATAAAACTAATTAAGACAACTAATACCAACCGCAGAATTAACTGCAATTTTATCCACGATCCAAATTACAGGCCTTGTCCTCAATTTATTATCAAGGTTAGGATTAGGCTTATAGTATGGTCCGTATATATATTTGCCGTAATCCTAATTAAACTCTGGTTCCAACTCTAACGAGCTACTAACACAGCCCTAATAGTACTTTAAGAAGTTATTCCTTGTGAAATTTGCTCCTTGGTTGCTGAACAGTGGCCATTTCCTTGCTATAATAATGGCAGATATCATGAACCAGCGGATATCATGCTTTCTAGATCAATAGATGGTTCACACCCCTGGGATCCTATGGTTTAATTTCGCCCAGAAAGTTTTGAAATTGTACAGATGAACACTTGGTGACAGAAGCTGTTGTTGGCTGTTCATTTATTGGTTTCCGTTATTGTTGCTGGCTCAGTTGGTTATTTAATATGTAGAAATTTGGAAAAAAACTCTTACTTTGTTTATAGCATGCAAAAATCTACGAGTCAATTTGGTGGAGAGATCTTGATCAGACATGATATTAGCAATATTTTCGAAGAAAATATTAGACCCAAAGAATTTAAAACATGGGTTGAAGTTGAAAAAGCCTTAAAACTTTTCGAGAAGGTGAGTTTATCATCAGTGTGTCTATTATTAGTTAACAAACACCCGATATATTGTGAGAGAAAGTAAATTGAACAAGAATGAGCCACATGTGAAGTATGATTACGTGGTGTTTACATGTACTTTTGGACACAAAAGAAGATCTGAAGGCAATCACATCCGTCTCAAGAAGTAAGTTCCCTATGTTTGTTAATGCTAAATGGACTAGATCTAAATACATTGGTTGCGCATCGATGGTACGCTTCCGATATCAATCTAATAAATTTATCATTTCATCTGCATATATGGTCCATAATCACCTTTGCAATTCTGAGTGTGTAACCAAGAATGCCAAAGCCCGCAAATTAAATGAGTCAAAATTGTACATAGTTAAGCCAGTGGTGTCTGTTTCATCCCAGCCTCAAGAATTGTCGGCAATGGATGTTAGCTACCAGAAACCCGCTACCCATGACAACCGCTGTACACCTGTTACACAAAACAGTGACATCGAAAACTACCAGAAGTTGAAACGAAAGTTTTGTAAAACCCTTGACAGATACGTCAGTACAGGTCATGTAAAAGAGGCAACTGCTTTTTTATTGTCTACATTTAACCAATTGAAGGAACTAAAGATGAACAGATAAACCCTCGTTGAGAACGCGAAACGGCCCTCTTTAGGGCCACCACATACTTGTTATGACCAAGTTAAACTTTAAGCGCTATTGAGTACCAGCAGAGTGTGACTGCATCGATGACCTTGAAGACGCCAAATAAACATCTATTAAGACCTGTAATCGCAAATAAATCATGCCTAGTGAAATCTTGTGTTATTAAATGTGACATGTGGCATATTTCAGCTCAAGTTTGGGAAAGATTAGGTTAAGGTGCAGGCTAAGAAGAGGTTAGGTGTAGGTCGACTTAGTAGGGTCGTCATAAGGGTTGGCTCGAGTTAGATTGTGGTCAGATGAAAGGTATTTTCACGTCAGGGTAAGGTCAAGGGAAAATTAGGGTTTGAAGATCTAGATAATTACATGCATAGAATGTAGTTAAATTACTCTGTTGATGCTCCAATCCAAAACTGAGAAGTACTTTGTGACGTCGGAGAAAGGTAACCCGTATGACATTTGTATGCCTTTTATTTAGGAGACTCGCCGACCATGCACACGATCCGGAGTTCCATCCGCGACTGACGCACACCTGATATCCATGATCATCTTGCTAGATTTAGCCTACAGATATCATATGCTGAAAATTCCATACTTGTACCTAAATAGTGTGTGGAATCAAGTCATAATAAGATAAATATTTGTTTCATTCGCGAAAATTGTCTTTATTATGTGGTTCTTGCGTCCTTGGTCATTTGTCCGTTGGTACTTACTGTTGCTAATAGTTTAAGTTTAGTTTTGACTTCATCGGTTTCGCTTAAAAGTATATGATTAGATAGGTTGAGTAACTGTCTCACGCAGACGCGATATTCAGCCTTTATGTGCCTGTAGTTACCTTCAGCGCAAACAAACTTAAAGTAGCCACGTAGTTTTAGATAGTCCGTTATAAGACTAAGCACCGTACTTTGATTATGTCTGAACATATAACTGGTTAGATTCTAGTTCTTCAGTACTTAATCAGGTAGACATTCTAGGTTATATTCGGGGTAGCTGTACACACCTAGAGTTCCATGTTCACTTGCCGTCATCTTCAGTGAGAACTGTTATAATTACTTTCAGGTGCATTTTGTGGTTATAGGATGAAAATGAGCGAATCATCTCTGCAGCACGGGTGTGTACCTTGGTTTACATACCTAGTTCATATTCACCACGCTTACATGTGGTATATATATAAGACTGATGCTCTGTGATGAGTTTTACTGCCTCCGTGATTAAAGCAAGAACACATCGAGCAGAATAAAGTGGCCTAATTAAAATTTGTTTCTCCTTATTTAGGTGGATAAAAGCGTAGGTAATTTAATATCCTTAAAGCGGATGATGCAGTTATTGATCATAACGGTGGTGGATAATAATTAACAGTAGGTGATTTGACGGCATGTTGGGAATAGGTAAAAATTTGTTTCTTAGATCATTACCAAGGAAACAGTCTGTTTGATGATATCACTTTATATTAACAGATTAATGAAGTAGCTATCAACCCTAAGTTATAACTACTACTACTACATTTACGTGCACTACAGACTTGGCGCTTAGCAATAAACAGACATGCAACTGGCTAAGAAGGATGGCTTAAGGGTATCAAACAGCACTTCACTATCATTTTAACTTGATAAATCCTACTTGGTTCCACAATGTGGTGCTGCAGAGAAGCGGATGCAAAATCCTCGAACAACTAAAGTAACAGTCTCATAATATTACAGTAAGTCTATTCCACCAACTGAGCTTAATATGCATTAATCCAACTTCACATATTACAACAGACCACAGTAAAGCATTGAGGAAGTGCAAAAAAGTAGTAATTGAGACTTTATCGAAATTACAGCAGAAGATTCTGACGAAGGTGTTTGCTTTAGTTTGATCGATTGACACTTCCACTGACTTTATATTCGACAACCTCCATATAACTAAAAAAATAAAGCATTTGTAAAGACTAGCGCAACATGGCGTTGTAAAGGATAATTTTACATGTTAGTAAACAAAGTGCATACACAGATCTCATATTTTCTTTCAAGTCTGCCTATTATCATCGATGATATTCCTGATTGTGCTGGACTGCATCACCTAACAGATTATGAAGACCATACTTTGAACTAACAATGAGACTGTAGAAGATCTGAACTTATTAAATGACTGCTTACGTATTTCTATTGGTAAAAATGTCCATGGACAAATGGCCCTCAAATAAACTGACATCAGTTTATGTAGAAATCTAAGTAATGCCTGAGGAACATGGTTTTTTGAATCCTACAGAAACTACATTTGCATATTTAGAAAACTATAGTTATCAAATATAAGATGTACTTGTCTCAACTCTAAACACTTATGCACAAGTATTTTATTTAATTTAGATTTCCCATCGATTATTTAGACAGAAGTGCTCTGTCTCAGGTTGACATGTCGGATCCTTGTGCAATTGCCTCGAAGATGTCTGGTCATGTGACTTCGTGGATAGTGACTGGCAGCAGAGTCCAAGATGCCCACTCCATCCTATTCAGGAGGTCCTGCCACTGTCAGTGGGTGGTGGGGTCCCCACTGAAGCTCGAAACCAGTACCTATAGTTCTGAATAACGAAGCGTTATCCACTTGGGCCACTCCTTGTGCAACGGGTCTTATTTATTATTTAATTCAGTTCAACCCGAGACAGAGCAGTTTGGTCCAATCAATCGACGGAAATATCTAAAAGTGAATTAGATTTGGCAACATGTCGCATACTGTTAGCTTTCTTAGCTGTATCTAGAATTATGTTCCACACTGTTGATAATTATGCTGATTCACCTATGTCGAACGTGTCCAGGTTGGCATTTAGGAATGTAAACTGTGTCGTTGGAATTTCTTTCCATTTATTCATGTTGGCTTTTCGTATTCTTCCATTTCTGTGGATTGGCCTTCAGTTAGACATTTATGTGGATTGAGTATTATATTGGATGGTGCAGAAGTTCGGCGCATATAGTTGACGTGTTAGTCAGCAAGGAGATACTTTGTAAACTACATTTTTTCTGTCCAAAATTTTCATTGAGTATCTTAATCTAGTTGATTTGTTCTTAATTATATTTATCGGTTTAAAGGTGGTTCGAACACTTGGTTTTCGGAGGTTTCTCTGCATTGCCCTTAGTGTACCCGTTGTGATAATCATCATGCTAATTATCTCCAGTTTTTCTCTATGTTGTCTCTTATGAAGTGATTGCAGTTAACAATCAGGTAACTCTAAACTACTTTGGACTCATATGATTGATTGATAAATATTTATCAACGTCATTTTGACGGACATTCTTTTGGGCGGCTATAGTTTTATTGTTACCCTCACGTAGTTCAGTGAATAAACTCTTTCCGGCGATTTCATTCTCCTTAGTTGTACAATTGCATTTATGTCCAATATTTTCGAAGCAAATCGTATTCTAGAGTGACTTGCAGGGTGAAGAGTGACCTGGTGAAGCCAGAGCCCATTCGCTTCCTTTGTGATACTTGTACTCTTGTTGCTCAGGTAAGGAAACCTGATATCCGGATACAAAAGAGGATTCCTCAATCCACTTCTGCTGTCATCACAATGACCCTAATGTTTTCGACAACTTTTCCGAAGTGTTCGTTTTGTTAGAGTCCTTATGTAATATCATGGTCGCTTGATTTCTGTATTCGCCTTGGTTACAACTCAATCACTAGATAAATTGTTTCATTACGCAAAATAATCCATCCAATGTGTTGAACCTTTCCTATGGATCGAGTAATATTAGCAACTATGTTTGTGACACCAACTGTTCTTCGTTACAATCCTACTTTATAGGAAAATAACTGTATGCAAATGTAAATGTACACCTAAAGTAGATGAAATCGTCAGAGTGCTTGATCCGTTTTATTTCTTAAACACTTAGGGATCGACATGATTCATAAATTAAAACCGCTCAGTAAGAGTTAAAATTTTTAAGTGAAACAGACACATCCACCCTCAGCACACGCCAATTCTCTATTTGATAAAAATGGGCTGATAATTTATTTGTGATGATTGAGTACTTGAATCACTGTATTGTTTACATGTCCATTGCTCGTCAGTTTCGTATATGTTGTATGTATACGATATAAATAATTCTTCCGAATACGAATTTCTGTGTTTCCCTCTTATTTACTGATATTCGGCCATTGCATTTACAAATGGGCATTACGTTATTACAATCAAAAGAAATTCGATGATACCATATACTAAATGATTCACATCGGAAAGCTTAACGAAACCTATGAACCGTAGACAAGTCTGCCTATTATCATCGATGATATTCCTGATTGTGCTGGACTGCATCACCTAACAGATTATGAAGACCATACTTTGAACTAACAATGAGACTGTAGAAGATCTGAACTTATTAAATGACTGCTTACGTATTTCTATTGGTAAAAATGTCCATGGACAAATGGCCCTCAAATAAACTGACATCAGTTTATGTAGAAATCTAAGTAATGCCTGAGGAACATGGTTTTTTGAATCCTACAGAAACTACATTTGCATATTTAGAAAACTATAGTTATCAAATATAAGATGTACTTGTCTCAACTCTAAACACTTATGCACAAGTATTTTATTTAATTTAGATTTCCCATCGATTATTTAGACAGAAGTGCTCTGTCTCAGGTTGACATGTCGGATCCTTGTGCAATTGCCTCGAAGATGTCTGGTCATGTGACTTCGTGGATAGTGACTGGCAGCAGAGTCCAAGATGCCCACTCCATCCTATTCAGGAGGTCCTGCCACTGTCAGTGGGTGGTGGGGTCCCCACTGAAGCTCGAAACCAGTACCTATAGTTCTGAATAACGAAGCGTTATCCACTTGGGCCACTCCTTGTGCAACGGGTCTTATTTATTATTTAATTCAGTTCAACCCGAGACAGAGCAGTTTGGTCCAATCAATCGACGGAAATATCTAAAAGTGAATTAGATTTGGCAACATGTCGCATACTGTTAGCTTTCTTAGCTGTATCTAGAATTATGTTCCACACTGTTGATAATTATGCTGATTCACCTATGTCGAACGTGTCCAGGTTGGCATTTAGGAATGTAAACTGTGTCGTTGGAATTTCTTTCCATTTATTCATGTTGGCTTTTCGTATTCTTCCATTTCTGTGGATTGGCCTTCAGTTAGACATTTATGTGGATTGAGTATTATATTGGATGGTGCAGAAGTTCGGCGCATATAGTTGACGTGTTAGTCAGCAAGGAGATACTTTGTAAACTACATTTTTTCTGTCCAAAATTTTCATTGAGTATCTTAATCTAGTTGATTTGTTCTTAATTATATTTATCGGTTTAAAGGTGGTTCGAACACTTGGTTTTCGGAGGTTTCTCTGCATTGCCCTTAGTGTACCCGTTGTGATAATCATCATGCTAATTATCTCCAGTTTTTCTCTATGTTGTCTCTTATGAAGTGATTGCAGTTAACAATCAGGTAACTCTAAACTACTTTGGACTCATATGATTGATTGATAAATATTTATCAACGTCATTTTGACGGACATTCTTTTGGGCGG